GAACATGCATAATACAAGAGTTTTGGCAACCAGCCAGATTTCAGAAGAAGGTTTAGGAGGCCAAGTTCTGTGCCCCTGAGAGGGCAATGTATGAAGCTGTGAGTATAAAGCCTGAAGCGTCAATAGAGACTCCAGGAAGTTTAGGAAGTCCAAGATGTGGACTATTTGCTGAGAAAAGCATAGGCAGTAGATGAGGATGCCCCAAGAGAGAGACCACGAGGACTTCAACCAGAAATAACTGCGGCAGGACTATCAAACCTTTACAGCTCATGTCTCAACACAACCTGCTGTGAGCTACAGAATTTATTGTTGCCCTGGTATGATTTCTGTCTCTTATTCTTCCTTTTTGAATGGATATGTTCACCCATGCCATTGTGTATCAGCAGTGTTTAACTGTTTTAAAAATGATTTTTATAGGGGCTCATGGCTGAGTTTACCTTGAGTTTCAGAAGAGACTTTGGACTTGGATTTCCCAGGAATGCTGGAACTGTTAAAAGTTTGGCCACTCTTTGAAATGGACATGAGTCATTGAGGGGCAAGGAAAATGGTATAACTTCATTTTGTGGTGTCCCTGGGAAGCTTCATGTGTTCAGGAAGTGATTTGATCATAAGATGCTATTGCCATGGGTGAGAATCCACTGATGAATCCCTAGTTAAATGTGCTGTCAGGAAATGGGGTCTAACTAAACAAGGCAGCTTGCTGACCCGTGACCTGGAGGGTGTATCTCCTTTCCTGGCGCCTCCCTTCACTCTGCTTCCTGGCTGCCGTGACTTTCCTTAGCCAGCTCCTCCCACCAGGCACTCTGTGTCTAGGAACTGTAACTGTGATTCAAACAAACCTCTCCTCCTGTAAGTTGCTGGTGTTGGATGTTATGTCCCGGTGACAGGAAAGTGACTAAAACATAATTCAATAGTTTGTTTTTTAAAATACTACTAGTAGTAAAGTATTTTGGAGATATCTAGGGATAATCTATGGTGTGCAATAGCAAAGTTCAGGTGATGTTCTCATTGGATCCGAAGTTTTGGAACTGCTAGGAAGGAGATAGTTCCTTTTCCTTTTACTACAGACATATTGTGCAGATCTAGAATAAAGACATGAAGGACTGTGTGGAGGGCATTGACGGAGTGCTCTTGCATCTTAGTGCCTGTTTTCAGTCTTAAATTATTGATCCATATTACATGTTTTGTCTAGCGTAATGATAAAAATTTTTCAGCATCTTTAGAGCCTTTGCCCTGCCCAAACTTTCCTTCAGGCTAGCCTTAAAAACTAGGCGTGGAGCCAGCTGTGGTGGTGGAGCCTGTATATATGATCGAACACCTATAATCCTTGCGCTTCAGGGGGCCAAGCAAAAAAGATCACAAGTTCAAGCCCAGGCTGCATAATTTAGTAACTTTTGATACCCTGTATCAAAATAAAAATAAAAATAAAAATAAAAATAAAAATGAAAATAAGGGTCTGGGGATTTAACTCAGCAGCATAAGCACCTGCCTTGCAAGCAGGGAGTTGGGAGTTCGATCCCTGGTACCGATAAAAAAAAGACAAAAGAAAAAAAATTAAAAAAAAAAAGAAAATAAAAAATATCTATGAGTATAACTCAGTATAAAGGTTCTGGGATCAGTCTCTAGTATTTTTCTACCACAAAAAAAAAAAAAAAAAGTTGAAGGAGAATTTAAAAAGAAGTGATTATCCACAAACTAACAAGCAAAATAAATATAAAGGAGAAAATAGAAACATAAATAGAAAAAAATAATTTTCTAATAATAATTTCTCCAGCAAAATGCACTGTCAAAAGAAAAATTTTGGTCATACAGTGCTAGCAGTAAGCTCACATCAGAAAATGGTAAAAAGAAGTTGAATAACTACAAGTGAAACTACAAAATTAAAGCAGGAGGCAAGCTGGAGAAGCAGTGTCGATATCAAACAAACTAGCATTTAAGGTTTAAAATGATCCAAATAGTAAAAGTAACCATTTACTAATGTAAGTCATTGACACAGTCTATGTGCTCCAAATAACAGGGCTATTGAACATAAAAACTAATAAGGTTTTTATGTATATGAGGGAGATATAAAAACTTTAATAATAGAAGTCACCTTTTATGATTATAATCTAGTAATATTATAAGTTGGTAATTTTAAAATGATCTATTTCTGGCAAAGATTTGGAGAAATAGATCCTGTTATTTTCTTATAAGCAATTTATCTTATCAAAACATAGTTTAAAAGAGTTTAAAAAGATATATACATGTAATATATATATGCATTTATACATTATATTGCCACTATCTATTAACATTTAAAATATACAAACTATTTGATCCAAAAATTCCACCCTGAAAAACCTATCCGTTTACTGACATAAAAACAGTAATAGATGAACACAGGTTCAAAGATTTTATTGTAGCATTCATTTTGAGAGGAAAATAAACATTAAGAGAGTAGGTGGATGGTTAGCAGGGAAGGTTGAATGACTTACGCTACAATTTAGAAATATAATCACTGACATAAAGAACACTCCACGAGATACTACCAAAGTCAGAAAGGATATGGGAGGACACACATGTTGTATGATCTCCTTTGTGTGCAGTGAAGAAAAGCACCTGTATAAGCGCTTACATCAGTGTGTTAGTTTATCTGTGCAGGGGTTTGTTTCATTCTGTGAGCACAGAGAAAACAAAATCGTTATGTGGGGGCAGATAGGAGTTAAAAAACAATAGGAAAAATTTAAAGAGGGCACAAGGAAAACAAAAACCTCACTTTTAAGACAAAAAGATTGATTGCTTATGACTTGTTGATACAGCTAAGATCTCTTACTGAATGAAAAATGCAAGTTTTTGAGTGCAAATGTGTCATGGTTAGAAATAAAATGTCTCCCAAAAGTCTCACATTTGGAGTCGGGGCCTGGTTTTCAGGGGTGAGCACAGAGAGCATCCCTTGGAAATGCATATACTCGTGCCAGGCTCCTCCTTTGCTTCCTGGCCACTATTTAGTGAGTCATTTTATCCCCCCATGCTCTTCTGCCATCTGTTTATGCCTTTAAGCCAGCAAACCATAAACTAGACCCACTGGAACTGTGAGCCAAAGCAAACCCTTCTTCCTTTAAATTGTAAGCGTTGGGTGTTTTATCCCAGCGACAGGGAAGTTAACTAATACAGGTTGGCATAATTGATTTCAATTAAAAGCCTCTTTCTCTAGGAAAGTCAGTTTTTGAGCAAAGAATATTTAACATGAAAACAAAGAAAATGTTAGACTGTTTGTTAGGAACTTTATTACCTGAAGATCTACGACATCATTACATTTTGATGCATGAATGTGAAGGTCTCAAATTAGAAACTGTTTCTGGTAGACAGAATTTCAAAGATGACTTCCAAAGACATCGAAGCTACAATTGCTGTAACATTCCCACATTGGGAGGGAGCTTATCTGGGTGAACCTAATCTGATCATGTGAACCTTCATAGGTAGAGAGCTCCTTAGCTTAGCACATGTGAGGGGAGCAATCTCCTGCTGTTGACTTGAGATTATATGGAACTACCTGCAAAGTCAGAGAAGAAAATGAATCCTTCGAGCACCAGCATAGCTAAGGAGGATCCTAAAATGCAGATTAAAACTGCAGCCCTGATTAACCCACCGCCTTGTGAAGCTTTTAAGTAGAGAAACCAACTGAGCCATGCTATGTCAAGATGTCTGAGCCACAAAAAATGTGGCAATAGATCAATATTGCTCTAAGCCAAAAATTTGTAGTAATTTGTTCCAGCAGCATTAAAAAATGAATGTATTATCCAATGTTTAAAAATGGGTATAAAAAGAGGTGAGGTTTCTCAAGTAGATTACACCAGAAGGGCTAAAGCCATAGACTTCGAGGTCAGGTAGAACCGGGACTAACTTCTGTCCCAGTTTGATTTGGAGCAAGATCTTTGATATGTGTATCAATATCCAAATTCATCAAATAGTATAATGATACCTACACAGCTCTGTGTGTGTGTGTGTGTGTTTATCTGTGTGTGTGTAAAGCTTATATGGGATTCTCAGCAAAGACTAATATATACCTTCTATTACTATTTCACATTTGCTATTCCTGCAGCAATTCTACACTGAAAATGTACATGACAAGAATTTATAAAGAATAATATAGTTAAACCTAAAGAGCAATGTTCCCTATACCTCCTTGCCCTCTCTTCCCTTTCTCATCTTGATTTTGACAATAGCAACCTCCCTAGCAACAAATCCTACTTTTGACTCAATGTAAAGCGGCCCTTCCAAGGATTCATATGATCTTGCGTGCAAAGTCTGCAGTGTCAGGGAGATGCCTCCCCCATCTGGCTCCTCCTGGAGTCTGCCTTTACCTCAACACAGTCCACCAGGGCCAGTGTCAAAATACACAATGAACCATCTCCTCTCTCAGTGAATGAGCTGCAAAAGCCAAGGCTGGAGACCAACAGGCTGTGGAACTCCTCCTTCAGAGTGAAAAGGTTCCTGAAGCTTTGATGTGAGGCCATGAAGCAATATCCTGAAAATTTCACTCTCTTAAAAATTTCGTTTAAAAATATTCAACTAGGAAGATTCCAAATGGCAGGAGATGGCTCCATTTAATCTTTGGAGGAAACAAAAGGAGAAAGAAAAAAGACTGATTGCGCAGTCTCTTTCTGGAAAGAAAAAAAATAATAAAACTACAAGGTCAGCACCCTTGTCTGCTGGCTCTGAGAGCTTCCAGGCCCCGGCAGCCTCTAGAGGAGAATATTTGTCACAAGATCCAGGGGACAGTCCTCATCACATGGATTCACAGACATGAGAAGCCCAGCTAGTGACTTAAGGGGCAGAAAGCCATAGTAATCCCTCACTCTGAGATATCTTCACTTTTATTTATTATTTTTCTTTCAAAAAACATTGAGAAAGTAATCTGTGTGTGTCAGCCACTTCAGGAGAAACAAAGATGAACAAGACACGTGTCTTCAAGGAATTAACAAAAACAGTGCTCAAAACATGGTTCTTCTTTCGCCTAGAGGACTTGGGCAATGTTTGGGGACATTGGAAGAGTGGGTACTACTGGCATTCCGTACGCCCAGAGCAGATACACAGCTCCACGAGGCACAGGACCACTCTGGAGAATAATGTGGTCCAAAAGGCCGAGCCTCGGGAAGCCTTTTGTAGAAGAAGTCACACGTGAGATGACAAAGGTGGCTCAGGTCTGGAACACTGAAGGCAGGCAGAAGACCAAAGTGTGTCTCCTTCATGTTCCATTCTGGACTGTCCATCCAGATGTAGGGGAGCTCTTTAGAAACTCAGTCCCAGAAGTGTCGCTGTGTGTGTGCCCCGGAAGAGGCTGGGCAAACAGGTCAGAAACAGCTGCTGCTTATAAAAGGCATCACCATGATACGGCTGGTATCTGATTCCTACTTGAAGTTCGTAAGCTGATTGAATTAAAACTGGGGACATAAGACAGCTTGGTGTTTTTAGAATTTATCCTTTTACCCCCATTTGTCAGGCTTTATATAAGCTGTTAGATTTAACAGTGAAAATCCTCTGGAGTGAAAATCTGAAATATATATATTTTTCTCACCTTTTTGTTTTTAACCCCAGGGAGCATTTCTAATAAAACGGATCCCTGCCCTACGGACTGTGATCTCAGTCTCTTAAAAGAAGACCATGAATTACACTCGAAGGTAAGATGAGGGGGGCAGAAGCTGGCATCAGACAGACCATGAAAACGACAGCCCCTGATTATTAAGTATGACTTCCTAAAGTGTATTTCCAGGTAGCAGGTAGTTTGGTGTTCAAAGCAGGTTTTGAAGTGCAGGACCTGCTAAAGCGGCTGATGTCTGAGAAGTGAGCAGTGCCAGTAAATTTTTATTACATCCGAATCAGACTTCTATAAACTATTGAGGCCTTTAGTTAAATTAATCAATCTGCAAGACTCTTTCCAGCCTGGGCAGGGCGATTAGACAATGTGCGGACTGTGCTGTGTGTCGGGTTATTTACTTGGTGTGCTCGTGGTTTGCACCAAGTCCGCATGGAAGCTTCTCTATAAACTTAGCTGGATGAAGTGGCTGGGTTTTCCTAACTGTGCTTCAATTCAATGTAACTGTTACATTTGGGTCCACTTTTGAGATACAGTATTTAATGGTTTTTAAATAGGTGTCTTCCTAGACTGAGTTTAAAGTATGAAGCAAACTTAACTTGGTCAGAAAACTGAAGCAAGCAGATCTCCCCCTGCCTGGACCTTTGCCTTCTAAATTATTTGAACCACCATCTTAATTCTCCACTCTGCTCACGAAATGTAGTTAAGAATTATGCCACAGTGTTTCAGGACATGGTGTGCTTTGCACAAGACAGGGGTCCTAAAGAATATATGTTCACTTAGTGTATAGCTGTTTTAGTTTGTGTAAGTTTATGATATTGACTCATGATAAAACGCCTAGCTACGCTTTTCTCAAAACATGTCCTCATCATTAAAAGCGACTAGCTGGGTTTGTGTGGACAACTTTTGTGGCTTGTCGCAAGATATATTATGGTAGCCTTTATAACTATTATCTCGTTTTGAAGCCCTGTATCGCCTTTATTATTTTGTCTTGATTGATTTTATTCTGTTCTCTTTCATTTGATTGTATTAGGTCTTGTGGTATGGGCAGCTATTTGGAAGTTAAGATATATTATGGTAGCCATTGCAGATTTCCCATTATCTTGTTGTTTTAAATATTTTTTATTTAAAGAAATAAAGAAAAGAAAATTTTAGAAAACAAAATAGAAAAAAAGAGAAAACGTATAATACAGAATTGAAAAAAAAATTAACATCATAAAATTGCTAGTTGATACATTACAGATTGTCATCTTAACAGTAGTTGTTAAAGTTACAAAATCAAAACATAACAAGTGGTCAGACACTCAAACATTGACAGTGTGAACTCTTCTGTTCAATAATGTAACAGAAATTTAGTAATATGGTCATCTATCTTACACACTATACATACCATTATATCCTTTAGAGCATTTCCTTCCCTTTTACTTTTAGAATATCTATTATACTTTTTGGATCTTATTATTCTTTCAGCTCTTACTGTTTTTTATACTAGAGAGACAATGTGGTATTTACTAATGTGAGTCTTATTTATTTCACTAATGAGGATATTCTCAAGTTGCTTCCATTTAGGTAAAAAGGCCTCAAGATCATCCTTTTTTATAGCTGAGTAGTATTCCATTGCATAAAAATACCACATTTTTTCATCCACTCTGTGGTTGATGGGCATTTGGGTTGTTTCCAAGATTTAGCTATCACAAACTGTGCTGCTATGAACATGGGTTCACATATGCCACTGTGACATGACCTTTTCAACTTTTCTGGGAAAATATCCAAGAAGGGAATAGCTGGATTGAATGGAATTTACAATCCTAGTTTTTTGAGGAATCTCCACACTGGTTTTCCATAGTGACGGCACCAGTCTGAACTCTCACTAACAGTGGAGAAGAGTTCCTTTTTCCCTGCAGCCTTGCCAACATTATCTTGTTTTGAAGTCTTATTGTTTTGTTTTAATTGGCTTCATTCTGTTTCATTTTGTTTGGTTTTATTCTCTTTAAAATAAAATTAAAAAGATAAAATAAATGATCAACTCATATTAGCTATAAAAAGGAACTAACTTTATAGACACCCATTTTTCTCCCTTTCTAAATAATTGCAGCTAATTATATAAATGATAGGGTTTTTTAATGTTCAGATGGCCACTTACAGCACTTACCACTGTGATCTTTCTAGATCATTGTGTCAAAGAAGAAAGTTTAGGAATTAAAACTTTATTAAGGTTTGTAACAATGAAAACAACACTTGCTGAGTGTTAGGAGATTGACATATTGATAAATGTTCTCAGCCCTCTACAGCAAATGACTTATCTCGAAAGGAACAAAGGCTTTACATACTGCTACTAGCATCACTGCATCCCTTACAACTGAAAAACTGGAACAGGTCAGTTAGCCCAAATTACATCTCTAGGCTTTGAACCAGGACTGTTTGACTCTGGAATACACACTTCTATTAATCAGTGAATTACCTGTAGGGGAAAAATTGTGCTGGGTGTATGTTTTCTACTTCTTGTTTTTTATAACTTTCTCTAAGGGTTATAATGTGACACTCCAGAGACCCCAAAAATATGGTTGAAGCAAAACTAAATACTCTTTTAGCACATAGTACATAGTCCCATCATGTTTACTCCTTGAAAAACTTAAGAAAAGAATGTATCCGTAAGACTTCTAGACATTATGGGCCTAATATTAGTCTTTAAAATAATTTGCAAAATTCTTGTACTAACTGCTGATAGACTTTGTTATTAGAAGAAAGGCTAAAATGAATTGGATGGAAATGAAAATAATCCCTAAGCAAACCTAAGATTTCCCTACATTTTCTGAACTTGCATGGTCATTTAAGGAACTCACTTTAACGTTTTATGTTTGCTATTATATTCCACAATTATAACTCAGCCGCTTGGGAGAAGCTCTCTGCTGTAGGTCGGCTCTGTTAGGCTCTGAATCAGGAGGGAAGGTTGGGAATATTTTTCTCAGCAGTGTCAGGGCTGTGGGAAGACTGAACCAGAAACACATTCATGTTCCAAGAAACTAAGTGTCAGTAGGCGTGGGTAGATATTGCACTTGCCAGTTACAGACACTCCTCCTTCTTCACAATAAACAGTCTCCATCTGACCCTCCATCCTCCAAGAATTTTACTTTCTTCTCACCTCATAGTATCAGGAATTAATCTGTCTCTTCAGTTCATACTAAAGATGTCTAGACAGATCATCAAGTGACGATGGGAAAATGAGTTGACTTTCAACGGTGAAGCATCTGCTTTTCAAATGTATATGAGCAGAGGACTGTCAGATTTTGTGCTTTCAAGAGGATGGGGAAGCTGATTGTTATCCAGAAAGAGTTGCCCAAATCGTAGGTTACTTAACGGAGTCCTTTAAGGTAAACCCTAAACTACATCGAGTTTTCTGTTGAGTAGGGTTAAGGGAAAGGCTGTCCTGTAGAAATGGCCCAGTAAATGCATCAGACATGAACATAAGAAGGGAAAGGAGAATCCTGCTGGATGGTCTCAGGATTTAGGCTGGATTTAATTTGCAGCTATAACTTTTGGATGATTATAGTAGCAGTGATGGAAAGAACATGATGTCATATTTATTTGCTTTGATACTTAGATGCACCTGGTATTTGTTGTTGTTAGCTCTGGCTTGCGATTCTGTGATCTTTCCAGTGCAAGCCCCTGAGCAGGGTCTCCACCGCAAGCCTCCCTCCTTCTTGGCCTGGCAAGCATGGCTTGAACAGGCATTAAGGCTCCCATGGCCTCACCCAGTCTTCCCAGGGTGGTTCAAAAGCGTTTGTAATCCTCAGGTTGAGCTCCTTATTCACCACTTCCTCTTTCTAAGGCTTTCTCTTTTGATGAAAACACCCCTTTGAGCTTGCTTCATCAGGCCAGATGGGCAGGTGAACGCTTCTTCCCAGGACTCATACAAAGACCTTGTCAGGGGCTTGGGGGAGAAATACGGCTACTAAGAGGAGCTTAATGTGGTGACATCACGCTTGCCACTGAACTGCCTTGTGCACTGTGGGCTCTTTCTGCACAAGGACCTGGCCTGTCACTGATCCTGTCATCCTCCCCTTCTGCCCCAGCCATGGGTCCATGGGAGGAATTCCAACTGAGGGGCAAAACCTTCTGAAAAGCAGGCAGTATGGGAGCCCTGAGCTTTGTTACCACATATTACCAGTCAAAGATTGACATGCCAAATGCAGTTTACATCCTGAGTATTTTAAAACATTTTAAATGCTTTTCCCTTAAACTCCAAGAATAATAGACATATACATGTTATAGTATTATACAAATATACATGTAAGTGATATAATTTGTAATAAATAATAATACATTAGAATCCATTATATTTTTAAGTATGCTATTTTTATGTGTTATAAATATAATATGTAAAATATATTAATTATATGAATCAAATATATTTCCATAAAATTCCTGTTATTTGTGTAAGGCAAATAGTATCTATTTTTCAGGTTTAAAATGTTAATTCAAGGACTTTACTCAAGTTCACTAAGCAGTAAGAGGATCTGAATGCGTATCTTCTGGTGATTCTCTGACTGCCTTTCTCACTATAATGCTACAATGTTAGGTTTTTAAAAATTTCTCAAAGCATGTTTTCCTCTTCTGTTGGGCATTTGTGGCTCTTTAACAATGTATTTGAACTGCAATCTTCATGACCCCAATATTTAGTCCATGAACCAGGCAACCAGATTCTGAATGTTAGTGATTTATTTTAGAATATTTGTTTTGAAATCTGTAGTGGGTTAGGGTATGAGCAACATATGCATAATGCATAAAATGTGAGTTTCCTGAACAAATGGGCAGACCATTTCTCCTTGAAATGTAGATATTCCTCTTTCTAAGGACATTGGTTTCATAAGAACCACTATAAAACTAATATTCGGTCTATTATTAGTTTTTTAATGTTGATGATATTGTAGATAAGGTATCATTAATCAAGCGTAGAGCTAAGCTATCTGTCTGTGCTTACTGGGCTGTTTGCATTACTAGACTGTCATGTGCCAGGCTCACATGTCTCAAGACTCACCTGGCAACTTCTCTGCATGTGTTTATCTTTATTTTGGAATCAAAACTCTTATTTCTTCATCCTGTTGTTCCTTTTGGAGGCCATTTCTTTGGAGTTGAACTGATTTCCATGATTTCATGTTTTCCACAAAAACCCCTTTGAGGGAATTTCTAATGCGTTAACTTAGATATTCCTGAAAGGAAATACTGAGGTTATAAAAAGTTTCATGAATTTTAGAATTCATAGGTATTTTTCTTTATGGCTTAGCAGTTGAGATGAAGTACATTGTTGTTCATTGCAAGTACTTACATAAAATATCTCTAGTACCTCTTTCTTGAGCATCTATTATGTGCTTATTGCCATGATAGCACATTAGGGACTGCGAAAGACAAAAAGAAATATACTTTATCTCTTCTCTACCATAAATTTAGGTTGAAAAGACAGGATATGTGTGTTTCATGGCAGTGTAAAACACTGCCATGAAACATCCATGCCACAAGATCAAGAGCTTTGGAGAGTAAACCAGACCCGTGCAATAACTGCTGGTTGCCATTTCAACTTCTGTAACATTCAAGAAAGTAAGCAACTCACAAAGAAATGCCGTCAAATGGTAATTCAAACGAACACAAGGCATATGAGGTAATTCAAACCACCTATATTCTTAAATAATTTTTCCCTCTTAAATTTACTTCATTAAAAATACCAGCCCTGAATAATCAGATCAAAAATTACTTTTATCGTTATAAGAGCTATGGAGGCTAAAAAGGATAAAAAGCACCACAATGAATGGTGCTTCAAACTGATGGCTGTCATACCTGGATTTTGTTCTTAAGGTAATCAGATCAATCAATCTCACAATAAGAGGAATGAACTTGGCTGAGTTCGTAGGGATTTGATGATACATCTACTCCACCTGTGTTTCTCTTTAAGGTTCTCCTGGTTACTGCAGCCTGCCAAACAACAGAACATTTTGCAATTGCAAAATATTCCACAGACAAAGCCCTGCTAAAATTTGCAAGAAACAAGGCCTTCAAGTCACCGACCTCTTACTATGAACAGTTAATTACCAATAATAATTAAAAAGTACTTTGTCACAAGTGTTTTATAAATGCGAGTAATGCCCAGTTTTCTGCTTTTCTAGACATTGTTTTCAAACTACTTTTTCTCAGTAGCATTTTAAAAATAGTCTAGGCAACTCTGTATATTAAACAGGCCCAAACTGAGCTTTTTTGATGGAAGAGGAAGGAAGAGTCCCATTGGTTTAGTTATTTCCTGTCTCATTCCTCACTTAGGGCTCCCAAGGATCCGTGCTGCACCACTGAGCTCGGCTTCTAGATGGTCACTGCTAACCACACAGTTCTCTCCTGTTCTAGCAAACTAGTTCCATAGACATTACACAAGTCCTGAATTTAAATTTATGTTGTTGAGTCACAAGGTGTCTGGCTCAGGAACTCCCAGTGACAAAGCTAGAATGCAGGAACCTGCCAAAACGGAGAACAGGTGAGCAGAGTTCTGGGCAAGTGTTGCAATTCTTGGTCTCTGTGTTCCTGAAACACAGCTGCCTGTCTTCCTTCTTTGTAGACTTGCTATTCAAATCTTCCTTCTATTTTGCTAAGAGCTAGTTCAAACTATATTTCTTTTACCTGTAACCCAAAGGTCTGATGAAATACATGATCATGTTTGTGTTTAATTGTAGCAACATTTACAGAGGTCATTCCATGTGTTATAATATAAAGAAGAATACAAACACCACTTATCCAGTTCCATTCTTTACAACTCCTCCTGACCTTCATCTGGACTTGGAGGCCTAAACACTTCACCAAGGAGCTGACATGTGAGCTTCAGGCTAACCAGTGGATTAAGATATGCATGTACAGGCACCAAATACTCACAATGAATGTGAAGCCTATATGTTACTAACCTAAGCTACAGTAAGAGGAGCAACAAGATTGCAAATGGGGAAAGGGAATTTAGAGACATATCCATATCCATATCCATATCCATATCCATATCCATATCCATATCCATATCCATATCCATATCCATATATATGTATATGTATCTCATCTGCAAAATGAATAGAAACTGCAAATATGTACTAATAAAATAAAAAGGAAAATTAAAAATGGGGAAAGAAATTGATTTATTACTAAGAAGCATCAGAGAGGAAGAGAAGCCAAAGAGTTCTGATGGCAATGATGTCTGCCATTAAGGAAACAAGAATCCAGTAGGAGAGCATGGAGTTTGTAACAATAATTTCAAAGTAAGAACTCTGACTCGTTATGACTCGCTGTAGACTTGGCTAATATGGCTCGTTATGATCGCTGATTTTATAAGTCATCCTAGTACAAACGTCCCTGATTCAAAGGGAACTTTCCACTTGCTATTTAAGAAGATACTTCATTTTTAAAAAAATTTTTTAATCTCTCTGACCAGGGAGACAGCCTGGCTTATCATTTTATGAAGGAAAAATCAACTGCTTGTAGACCTGGAGAATTTGAAGATTATTCTCATGATACATCTTACTTGGAAGAACTGGAGAAACACCGGTTTTCAGTTTGGTGAGCGACTATATTCTGTCTTTATATTTTTAATTTAAACTCATTGAACCTATTTTTATGCACTACCTTCTCTTATTATTATGCATTACCTTCTCTTATTATTTATTTCCCTTTTCAAGTAAAATTGACTACCTTCCTATTGTAGGCTAAAGAATATGTACCCTGACTTGGAAATATTTGTAGTCTAAAGAGAGAGGCAGATGTGCAAGAAATACCAATTTGATGTTAGAATAGTATTTTTTAATTGCATGAAGTATCACACTCACATACAGAGAAAGTTAAGGCCGAATTTATTATAGGATGGAGAATATTTCTGAGAAACTTTGAGCCAACTCTTAGGGACAAGATTACAGTGGGAAAATGGTGACACTATCATGCGGGCGGAGTCCTGAGATGGAAATAGAGGTGTCCGTGGGTTTGATCTATGCTAGAAATCTTAATTCACTCAAGACCTAAGCAGAACACCATAACTGTTGCCCCTACCTCGTGATCTGCGTTGATGCATTTATTTATGCAAACACACCTATTCCAAAGATGAAGAAAGGAATAAAGGGTAAGGAGTGAAATATCTCAGAGGTGATGAGTATAGAGTTTGCAGTGATGTCTTCACCAAGGACCCACAGTGACACTATGACAATGGGAGTAACTTTGGGAAGGAGAAGGCATGGAGCAGCTAATCAAAGCCATCTGCTCCAGCCTCTTCCCCCAGGTTTGTTCCCTGAATGATTTTCTTATCCAGCAATTGATCAGACTAATGATTTGGTTCTTAAAGTTTGCTCTTTCTCCTCCATCCTGGAGCCACTGTCTGGAGGTTGTGACATCAGCTCAAATATCATTTATCCAACCCCATTATTTAAAGGCTTAACCACTCACACTTATATTTTCTGGAAAAAGTTGGAATGTGGACTTCAGGCTAAAGGGTAGATTATTTTCTGGATCAAGAGAGTCATGTCTGTGCCTAAGGAGCATCAAACATGAAGAAGAACTGTTATGGTTTGTGTCTGGATGTCCCCCTGAAGCCTCATGCAGTCATGGGGGGCGAGCTTTGTGGAGGCAGCTGAATCTAGATTGATCATTGCCTAGTGCTGGGATTGGGGGTGTGAGTGCTACACCTGCTCTAGGGCAGGAAGCTGCATCCAACATAAGGGAGGAAAAAGAGGTTGCTCTTCCCATTTCACTTAACTTGCTTTTGCTGTCTTCTGCTGCCATGAACTGTTGCCCCTGTGCCATGCCACCCTGCCTTGGAGCCGGCTGATTTTGGACTGAAACCTCTACAAATTGTGAGCTAAATAAACATGTCCTTATTTAACTTTGGGTGTTGGGTATTTTGTCTGAGCCATGAGAAAAGCAATTAAAATAATAACTAAAGAGCTCAGATGAAAAAGACTCTTCTATGAAGAGTGTATATATATATATGCAAAAGATGCTAAGCATGGATATTGGGGAGATGGATATAAGCAAAATGTATTGCATGCATTGTATCCCAAATGTGAAACTGGGGTGAGGGCTAGAGGAGTGATGGGGTAAAAATGATAATACTATGGTATATACATGTACAAATCTGCCAGAATGAAGCCCACTAATCAATAAAAACGAGTAAAAACAAAACAGTAGTGATACGCTCCCTGTTCTTCAGAACTGCTTAGTTTGTAATCATCTTTGAGGGGAGGGCAATGTGTACATATTATATTTAATTCAATAACTGCCAGAAGAGAAGAGCCCTGTGCTTTCTGTAGTGTACAGAAGAGAGGGCTGAGCCTTCCAACTTACCCTATGCTAATTCCTGATCACCAACAGAGATACACTAGGACTGAAGGAAAAGCCCTGTAAAGTCCCCGTTACTGTGATATCCCAGTCTTCCAGGCTGTCTCAGTTGACTCAGCAATCTGCTGCTTTTCAGAAACGACCTTTAGGAATTCACAATGTGCAGTGTCCAATGTCATTTTTATTTTACACAGAGTTAAAAATTTAAAGGATTTCCAGTGGTCTCAGTGCTTCAGTTCCAAATTACACCTTTAATAGAAACTCTTTGGCTGGCTTCCCATGATCTCTAGGTCTGGATCAGGAAGTTGTTGCAACAGCTCCTGGGGCAAAAACCTGTTCTTCCTGTGTTTTCCTTAATAAAATTTTATTGGAACTCAGACACACCCATTTGGTCACTTCCATTGGCTGTTTCCCCTTACAATGGCAGAATTTGTTTTGGAGGACAAAGACAACATGGTTCACATAGTCAAACATATTTGTTACCTGGTTCTTTACCAAAATAGTTTACTTACCCCTGCTCCGTACTGACTTGGCAGCTTCTCTTCTATTCTCTGCTGATAATCACACATTATTCTCATTTTTATCCTTCTTAATATAATTTTTAGTATATGTTTGTACTACATAATGTTTGCATACTTTGTAGGGAATCAGTATGCATACATAATATACATATACAGAATATACAAAATATACAGAATATGTCTTAATTATTAATTCCTTTTTTCATCTCCTTTACCTTCCATCTGTGTTCTCTGTATCCATTACTTGGCCCTTCTTTTTGTACGTACTTTCAATGCATAATATTTGCATTTGTTGTGTGGGGTTGGTACACAAATTATTTTTAAATTAATTATTAAAAGTTACATACACTTATGACACATGACATGATGTTTTGGTGTATGTATACAGTGTAGAGTGGCTAAATCAAACTATTTAACATGTGCATTATTTTACATACTTTTGTTTTATGGTAATAACACCTAAAAGCTACATTCTCAGCAGTTTTCAAATATGTACTATATTATTATATAGTATCCATATTGTATGAGAGATCTCTTGAACTTATTTCTCCTAACTGAAGTTTTGTATCCTTTGATCTACATCTTCTCTACACTCATTTTTGTTCACTTACTGCCCATGGTAACCACTATTATATTTCTTGCTTCTATAATTTCAATTGTTTCAAATTTCATCTTATAAGTGAGAGAACACAGATTTTTCTTATTTCCTAGGCTTAATGTCTTTCACCTATGTTGTCACAAATGACTGAATTTCCTTCTTTGTTGGGGGAATATTTTTCCATTGTGCATATGTAATGTTTTCTTTATTCATTTGTGGATAGAAATTTAGGTTGATTCCTTATCTGCCTGCTGTGAATATGCTGCCATTACTTTCAAGATATTTGTATGTGCATCTCTCTTGCCACTTGGATTTCTGATACATTTTTGGTCATCAGTGCTGCATGCTGAATCACTGGAGGCTTAGTGTTTTGTGACAGACGTTAAATTTGCTCAAAATTCTGAGACTGTGGATTCAGACAGAATGCATTGTGGAAAACTGTCCTGTTTGTTCATAATGAGTCACAGGATCAACTAAAGGAGAAGGACTCTGCCTCTTGACCAAGGATGAATGACAAGGTGGCATTGCAGGAGGACACAGGAAGATGGAAGTGGCTGTCTTGGAAACACAGTCTATCACATTGTGTTTCACCCATTTCTGTCTGCACAGGATTCAACAAATATTTATTGAACAAAATATACAAATTAAACAAAGCATGTAAGTTAAATGAAACTTGAAGGCTTTGTGCGTAGGTTGACCTCAGTGTGTATTTCTGTATTCCTTCCTGCCATTGCTAGGGGGCTTTGAACAATTTATTTGGAATCCCTGAGAGTGGTTACCTGTGTGTTGGATTTGAACAGTAATTCCTATATTGTGAGACCTGACAGTATTTGTGAAAGCTGAGAGAAAGTAAACAAAAGTTATCCTTTCTGTAGAGACTGGAACATGTGGATTGTTACGAAGAGCAACTAGTACGGTTAATATCAGTAGTAATGATTTTGAAGGAAACACGATTTCCAAAGGTTGAAATAGAGGACTGTTATAGTTTGGACCTTAAATGTCCTCTGAGACTCCACATGCTGCAGGTCTGGACACCAGCTTATGAGGTCTGATGGAACTGTAGCAGGTGGAGTCTGTGGAAGGCAGTTATTGGGGCGGTGCCTTTGAAGGAGTATTGGGGTCTACCCCTCCCACACACTGCCTTGCTGCTTTCAGGCCCTCATGAGCATCCTGCAGCCTCCCCAAAGCGTGCTCCATCATCACGCACCGCCACAGGGCCAGCAATTGGGTCCACTGACGATGGTCCAAACTTCTGATGCTGTAGGCCAAAAATAGACCTCTCCTGCTGTAAGATGTCCATTCGGGCAGTTTGTCACAGCACTGGAACAGTGATTCCCGTAGGGTGGATTGCTCTCTGATGATTTCTCACTTTCTACACCCATCTTCCCTTCTGCTTTTCCGAGCCACCGAGGGCCTTTGCACTTGTACCTCTTTCCTCTGGAATGTCCTCCTGGTCATAGTGCTACAGTTGAATGCCAGGCCTTTCCTCCCTGTCCTATGCAAGGCGGGACCTATCCTTGTTCTAGTTAACCTCCCCATATGCTTTTCTTTGTTTCCTTTCTGTCTCTTTCCATCTCTCATTTTCTCTATGTCTCTGTCTGTCTGTCTGTCTCTCTCTCTCAGGTAATAAGGACCAATTACGTGCTATACACATTTCTTTTAAAGCAAAGGCTGAGGATATAGGGGCTGCCGAGACCTCTATAAACTTCTGTTTTAAATGGTCTGAGATACAATCTGAACAATTTCCTTGATGTTTTATTAGAACTAGTAAATCATTTATTTGAGCAGCCTTTACCCAAATCCTCTCCAAATCCTCATAAAATGCATTTAACATAGAATACTTTAATGCCCAGCTTCAAAGTTATATATATATATGACCCTGGGTGGGAAGCACATGCCCCAGTGCAGCAAATCCCGCTGTGTGTATTTTGTTTCTCTCTGTCTTATATGCTCACATGCTAATGTGCTCCCTCTCGAGCCCTGGCGCTTCATCTGAACCTGCCAATTGTGATGAAACTTCAGTAAGTCACAGTTACTACATATGTTCAATGTATGAGGACTTCAGCTAGACAAACGCAAGTTTGGCTCATTTGTAGCTGCCAAGAGTTTGAAACAAATGCTTCCAAAATATAATGTTAAGATGGTTGAACTTTTTTTCTACACCAGAAAGATTTTTAACTAAATCGGTTCTGAGGGTTTGAAAGAGAAAATTATCCCTGCACATGTCACCCTCTGTATCCCTCTGCTGTAGGGCCAGGGGGTCAGAGGTGACAGTCCTCTCCGTCATCCCTGGCAGGCGCTGCATCGTGGCTGAGTTTTCTGAGCTGCAACGCTTGTGCTCACAGCATGTTTATATTTTTGTTTTCTTTCAGATATATGTTTGTGTGTTAACTTGGTCCTCTTCTGCAGAGAGTTTAGGTAACATGAGATCACCAGGACAGCCCTGAATACTTTGTAAATTGCAAGCACTTAATAAATATCTGTTGGGGCTGGGGATTTAGCTCAGCGGCATAAGCACCTGCCTTGCAAGCAGGCAGTCGTGAGTTCGATCCCTGGTACCGATTTAAAAAAAAAAAAATATATCTGTTGACTTCATATCTGAAAGTGAGGGTAAACTGAGATTGTTAGTAGTTCCAGAAGAAGGTTCTGTGGAAAAGACCACTGGTGCAAAACTTGAAGCTGCCTTTCAACATTTTGGGCTAGGTTTTGCTGTGGTGACTATCCCTGCTTCTCCCCTTTTTCCTCATCCTTCTCCTTTGACATTTTTTCCTAAATATTCTCACTCTCCTGTTTTCTGATAACAGTACACTCCTGCTGCCATGTGCGTATTCTGAGGGGTTGGCTGTGATGCCTGTTATTTTTTTCTCACTGGTGTGATTAGTCCAGGGCTGGTCATGTGATTTGAACCAGGCTACCTGGGATTTTATATTTTATTACTTGGAAATAAAAATTCCTTCTCCTCCCCTACGTGTTCATCTGGGATGGTTTCATTTTGATGCTTTCTCTGGCCAGGGTTACTTACTACCCTTTGCTTTCCTTTCCTTTTTAATAATTATCATGTATAGCCCATTTGAAATCAGGGCATGGGGAAGTTTCATGGATGTTTTACAGATAACACATATGTATTCTGCTCTATGAATAAGAAACTAATACAAAGATGACTCATGGGGACCATATGTAAGCATGAGTCTGTATGGATATATTTTATACCCACATGAGAACTTGTAGAGTGGCCTTGCTATTGGCTGTTCAAGTTACAGGCAGGAAGCTGGGTTCTAAAAAATATTAAATAGAAAATTCCAGAAACAACTTGTTAGTAACTTGCATGCCTTTCTGAGTATCAATGAAATCTTGCACCGTCCTCTGTGCTGTCCAGGATGTGAATCAGCCACTTGTCTGATATATCCACGTTAGCTGTCACCATCATCAGACGGACTGACACAGAACCTTGTGCTTAGGTATGTATGAGCCTTACTTCTTGGGCTAATACAGTGTCACAGTGCCCTGGCCATTCGCTACCCCCATCCCATTGCTTCTCATTGTATCATCTGGCATCATCACAGTAGGAGGGAACAGTGCACAGAGATCTTTTTAATGTGGAAAGAATACATGCACATAATTTTCATTAGAGCAGGATTGTTCTATTTTGCTATCACTGTTGTTACTAATCTCTTACTGTGCCTAGTTTATGAATTAAACTTTACCATACATACGTATAGGAGAGACAGTATTTCTAGGGCTTGGTATCATCTGTGGTCTCCACCAGGCATCCCCTGCAATCCACTGGGCACTGCAGAGGGCTTGCCTTGCAGACAAAGGGAGACTACTGTATTTCAGGTTAAAAAAAAATATTGTCTACTGGAAAGCTTTAATTTAATTTTTTTTCTCTAAGATCAAGGACTTTGGGAGGAGAATTTACAATGTCCACTCAATGAATTACATAAATAACTACTCATTTGCCTATTTAAACAGAGCTGTAGAATCTCATAGCCTGGGAGTGAACTGAGTTCCCTCCCTCCGGATGCAGTGCCTTAATCTTTGTATAGTAATTTCTCTAAAGAAGTAAACCAGGTGACTCGGTAAGTACCTCTGAAAGTCACACTAATGACATTGGAAAGCAGCAGATATCACCCTAGTGGTTTAAAGAAGTTGACATAGTTTTCAGGGGTTTCTAACTCCCAACTGGGGAGAAGGCTCCGTAACAAGACAACCTTAAAATGTTTCCGTTACAATTCCAATGCAATGAGGTGGGTCGACAACCAGAGAATCATACACTTGCAGGGTAGGAAAGGATCTTGGGGATGATTTAGTTCAGCCCTGTCAGTTTGTACAAGTTCTGTAGAGCTGAGACCAATAGAAGCTCAGTAACTTGCCTCAGGTCATGGAGCTAATAAGTAGTGGAAACGGGGCTGAAAGCCACATCCTCTATGCCAATCCACCTTACTTGTAAAAAATAAATTCTTCCAAGAATAATGCTAGTCTTTTCAGAGTTTCCCATTTCTATCAATTGCATACCACTGTGATACTTATCAATACATTGATCAGAATGTGCTCATTCTTGGGAAAATCCATTTACTGGATTGACATACATTCCTTCCTGCCAAGGAGGTGCAGAAGAAGCAGGAGCCCAGATGTTTGCAACATGCACACGTGGCTGGCCACACGGGCTGAGATCCTTCTGTGCAAGGATCTCAGCAAGGAATTATGTGGTGACCTGAATGTGTTGCTTCGGGAAGGGATGGGTTAACAATACAGGAAAGTTATTCTTTAATACAAATAGTACACTTTCCTTTTTATAACACACATGTGATTTGCCATTAAAATAAAATGCAGATGCTTCTTTGATTGGCGTATTCCCTATTGTGTCTTTCTAAAACACCTTCACATATGGTCTGCCTCATTCCTGAGAAATGACTTGTTGTTTATGTCACACAAACAGAACAGATTGATTTTACAGTGAGTAAGGAGATTGATGAATTATACGTTGGAGAGAAATCTTTGTCTCGGCAATCTAAACACTTGAAAATAAATGTTGCCTTTTGGAAAAGCTCTCATGACACACCCAAGATCCTTTCATTTCATGCTTCCTTCCCAGGGGTTAAATAGATACACACATGCAGTGTGTATCCAAAAGCAATACAATCACCTCAAAATATACTTTTTGTTTTTGCCGTCAAATGCATGGGGGATATTGGATCAAAAAATGGCAGTTGTCTTCAAAGAACCAACTGGAAATATCAACTTGAATGTTTTAACTGTATTATGATCTGAATGAAACATTCTTGGTCTTGGGTAGGAGAGTAGTTTTGTTCCTTTATTTATCAGCTGAATTTTAAATTTAAAATCCTTTTGTGGATTTCCCGTTACCTTAGTTTGAAGTCCTGTATCACTTTTGTGGTTTTGTTTTGATTGACTTTATTCTGTTTTATTTTGTTTGGTTTTATTCTCTTTAAAATAAAAAAATAACATATTTAAAATGCTTAAATGCTAAGAAGCTTTCTTAGGGACTCCTTTATTCCTTCAAAATGACTTTGCATAATTGAGTGAATGTAAGGCTGTGTGTGTTCTCTTCTCTGATAACACCAATTTGTGCAAAATGTTACAGGTTATAAATCTCATTCTCATTTGTTGTTTTCCATATGATGGACACAAAAACCTTACAAGTACATCACTCAAGTGCAAGGGGATTAATCATGTTACGAACACTTAACTAGTGTTTGTCTGTCACCGTCCAGTGTTGTTGGCCCTGTAACATGTGGCCTCCCTAACCGGCTTCACATATACACATAAACTTACTTTGTACATTTACAGCTTTTAAAATACTATGCTTTCCATTACACTCTACTGGCATATCTTGCAGAGTTGGATGGCTGCTGAATGAGGATGAGAGGCTATGGAGGAGAGACGTTAACTAAACCAGGTCTAGAATGGCTCAACAGAGCAAAATACCATGGAGGTATAGTCCTGAGAATGATTTATCAATGGCCTACTTACAATCTGATATGTACCAATTGGTGTCTTCATCTTAGTGGGTATGGATGAAACATGACTGTACATGTCCTGAGGAGGGAGCAATCTTAGTGGCTAAGAATACAGGCTTTAAGGTCCTAATGCCTCTACTCAAATTAGCTTTGTGAATTAGACAGGTTCCTAGAACTCCTCGTACCTTAATTTCTTTACCTGTGAAATGAAGCTAGTTGGATGTGCCCACAGGGGAGGACTGTTCCTCTTTCATAGGATTTTATCTGGCGAAGTCAGGCCCATCCCAAACAGTCTCCCATCTAATTTCTGTAAACACAGAACCAAAATCACTTATGTCCTACAAGGAGATGCTGAGTGTGGATAAAAGAAGCAAATGATGGGCATTGTCACTTATCAAGATAAAAAGGAAAGGAGATGATGACTCAGGGACTTAATGACTGCTGCAAAATCTCTTCCTCTCTGCCACTTTGTACTGGCCAGAGGCAGTCACAGTTCCCTCCTGTGCTCCAGGGGAGCACATCATGTGCAGAATGAGCATCAAGGGCCGGGAACCATGGAGATCCATCCTTGGATCCTGGTCCATCTGTCCCACAATAAAGCTTACAGAGAAAGGCTGCCAATTTCATGAACTCCTCCACTTGGAGGATTCCTGTCCAGTGTGGTCTTTAGTGGGCCTGAGGCTGTTAGGTCCTTCTCTTATGCTCTGTGTATTCCTTCTTTCTTGCAGAAGGCCTGAATTTGGCCAGTTCTTTTATGCCTTGATAGTGTGGCTATCGACTACCTTTTCTCATCCATGGCCTCTCTTCTACCCACACTGTTAGCCCTTTGTAGGTTGATTTTGGTTCTATTTTTATGAATGTATCTTTCTCTTTGGGTACTAAGTTTCATGTTTACTTTTCAAAGTGCTGTATGTGTGCCTGATGAACTCACTGTAAAAGCTATTTCTAGCGTGATTTCTTCCAGGTTATTCTGTTATTCTGTACATCAGAAGCTATAACAGCTTCCATAAATGACCTCATTTTCTGGATCCCATAGTACTTTAGTTTCCTAAATTGATAAGAAGCATTGCATCACCTTTTACCCCATCTGTGTCCACATAAAATCACAGAATTTAATTACCGCGGACATCCACGAGGGCAAAGCAAGGCTTTGATGTGTCCAGCTCTCCTCATGTTCAAAGGCACAGTTCTGTGTTGCAGTAGGTCCTCCTGGCTGTCCTCCACTGTGTGCCTTCACCCCTGTTTCCTGCTGGAGGCGCTGCCTCCAGGGAACAAAGAAGGTGGACACTTTCCCAGTCTATCATGGACTGTCGGTGGTCACGGACCCAGTTCTGGCCACGGAGAGGTGAGAAGACATCAGTCTGGGTTTCCTTCCTTTTAAAGGTGAAGGAAGCCACTTTTGCTTTTGCTGGCCTCTCCTCTCTTCCCACTTGAGTCATTGCTATAAGGATGTGGTGCTGGGCACTTCTGCACAAACCGTGCATCACGACGTCATGAGAGGCAGAAAATGAGAGAGGAACCAACCCAGGTCATGTTAAGCCCGTGCTTATCCACTCCTTCTACCTATTTCAAAGTTTCTTTTGCACAAGATAATTGAATGCCCTGGTGTGTGAAACCCTTGGATGAGTACTTTGTTGTCAGTGGCTGAAAGCATTGTTAGAAAGGCCGTTAACTTGGGTACATGTTTTCCTGATGTGGTGGACTCTTGCACACACTGAGGAGTGGGTGTCTGCTCTTTTATTTGGCAGGTTTCAGTACTGCACTGTCTTCTGGACACACAAACACTGGCAGTCTTCCATACTGTCTGATCTGCCTAAGCAGAGTGTGTAACTAGCTGCTTTTCAGTTCAGTACGATTCGGGAAATGAGCACAGTGTGAGGCAGGAGATTCCTCTCTGTACATACCACACGGATTCACTTGGGGAGTTGGAGAATGAGGTGAACAGAATTAATTTAGCCAACTGTCTGGAAACCGACATGACATCATTGATAAGACGTAAATATCCAGAAGCTTCAGATTATGAATCAGTACAAATTCAAGCTGCACAATTTAAATGATGAAAGGGCGGAACTGGCTATGAAGCCATGTAGGGATTTATTTGATGCAAAAACTCAAATGACCAGTAAAATAGATAATGCTCTGCTATAATAGTTTGCAAAGAACATCAAGAAAACAATTGAGTGGGTGTATTTCAAGCTCCAGGCATTGTAAACTCTTTCACTCTCATATACTTTATGCCTTCTTTAATAAGCTGGAGAGTCTTGGGCCAGCTTCATCGGTGACGGTAGGTGGTCATCCATTTCACCATCCACTAATTTTCATGATTATTCAGTATTTTATGTTACCTAAACTGCTTTGGATTTTGTCTTGCTCAAATTGTAATATGGCAATAGCTTATATGATTTCAGAATCATTAATTCAGTTGGCGTTTTCAGCATATAGGAGTTGCTCCCTCATTTCTCTGAGTACAAACAAGAACTGAAAGGTTTTAAATGGACGGATGGTCTGTCAGAGCTTTTGAAATATACATTATTGGAATATTTGCCTACTGTATCTTCTTTAAAAATGCAAAGTGCATAGGAAATTTCTAGAAAGAAAACAACTGACGTCAATTATAGTTGAATCCTACCTTCATGGAGACAAATGTATATTTACCTTAAATTTTAATTGAAGTATTATGTAATATGTTATAAATCATCAAGATGAGGTGATTTAAGGATTTAAAATCTTTTTCATTGTTAAATTTTTGGCATAAACTTATATAGAAAATTTTCAGGACTGTGTTGTGAGGGTGCTTAGCATTATGGGTGATCGCTGCACCGCTCCTTTCTTCCTCTCCCTCCCTAAAGTCTAAGGTTCACTGAGAACTTTTGCTCAGCTCCCATAGAATGTATCTGAATAGTTTCAAGATTGTTTCACCTATGGTTTTTCAGGGGTACTCATTTATTTGAGGAAATTTTAATAGTTGAAAAGTTCTTAGAATTAAAGTCTGTGATTATTTTAAAAAATTTATTAGTATCAGTTTTGTTCACTAAAACCTCAGGCCAAGATAAAATAATATTTTTATTTGTCCTATGTATATATGTGTGTATGGTTAGATGTATTTATCTATCTAGTTTATGTATGCATCTATTTCTCAAAATGTACAGGCTTATTATTATTCATCAGGTAGGTGAATTAGTCATTGAATTATCACATTTTGATTTTAATATTCCTCTGCATCTCTTTATCCAGTTACTCTCTATGGTGATTAGAAACCTAACAATATGCAGCTCTACATAGATGCCTTGGAAAAATTTAAGAATTAGCACGAATGTAGCTTCCATCTCTTGGGAGCACAAAGAACAAGCAGAGTATACTGGCTTCATTGATGGACTAGAATGTGTCATGGCTCAGCCTGTTGATAGATTTAATAGACCTTACTCTGTTCCCCAGTATATAGGCCTCCCCATACCAGAATACAGAAATCTTTATCCCTAGTCCCTTTGCAGTTGGTTAATTTCTTCGGAACTCTTCTGACCAATGATTTAGGAGCAGAAGGAATACATTGTTATCTCTCAAAGCATGTAATTGATAGGGTCAGAATTCCTTTCTCTGTCCCTGCACAGTGTTTGTGGCCTTGGGTTGAGGTGGCGGTAGCAACTTGGATCACTGAGGCTTCCTATGGTGTAAAGCCGTCCTGCACAACAGTCCTGAAACATGCTTCACACGAGTGTTGTGTTGTACAACTCATTGACCACCATTGTATAGCCCAGGAATGTAATGATCAGTTCCAAAGGTCTGAGAACCATAGAAATGTGTAATTTTCTTGAGGAAGCATTATGAAAATTACTCCCATGGAGCTGAAATACGGGAGAGCAACTCTTAACTGATGAAGAGTGAGCCTGTCCAACCTGTCATGTCTGTACCTAACAGAAGATCTTAATTCACCCTCAGAACAGCTGGGTGAGGTTGTTAATATAATATTGAATTACTATATAGAGGTAGTGTAATTTGCCGTGGAAGTATTTTTAAATTTGGAAAATCCCAAAGGGCTCAGGATATATTTTTCAGGAAGTTGCATGTATGTGGGAAGGAGATGATGAGATATATGAGGGTCATAATCTTTCATTAAACGGTTGTTAGTCCTTCTGTCATTTCTGCCTTAATTTGTGCACTCAAAGCCAACTCCTTCTAGTCATATGTTGACCGCAGCCACTTCTGCTCATGAGTAATCTTCTATGGAGACTTGTGCTCTCAGCAGGCCATGCCCCTGCTGGGCCCTCCCACTTCCTGGGTCCCATCCACTCTGCTCTTCTGATCGTACAGGCACTTTGTGATCACCATCTTCTTAGTTGTGCTGCTTCTGGGCTGGCTGCAGGGGAGGAAAGATGTGGGTCACACCATGCCACACTCCTCTTTTCCTGACTAGCCTTTCATAAATTCGCCATATTGTAATCAGAACTTTACGAGTCTGATGGATTGACTAAAATGTTAGGTTACCAAAAGGAGCACAGTGTAGGAGAGTCACTTCGAAGCTGAGTGTTAAATACAGCTGCCTTCAAAGTGTAAGGCAAAGATTCCACCTCCAAATTCAGCCCTTATCCCCACATGGACAGTCCTCACTTCCTGTCGTTGATCTTTTGTTATGAAACCTGCCTTTGGTCATTCTTCCCGAGAAGTCTCTGTCATCAACATCTATGATGGTCATTTTACTCCCCTCTATGAAAACTCCACCCTCTACAAACAGGTTTTGTCCTGTGATCTCCTGCTTACTTGATAGTCCTGGTCTAGACCTAAGCAGAAACCAGAATCTGATGGGATCTTTGATCTTCGTGGTTTGTTCTCCTTAGACTCTGTCAGCTTGAGGTACAGCTCTATCACCTGCTCCTCTTGATGTGCAGTGAATGGCTTTGTACCACAGCAACACAAAACACGTTACATGCAATGGGCTTGAGAGTTGTCATCTCCCACACAGCTTAATGTTCTCAGAAAGAATCCAGTCTGTGCTCCTATGAAGGGAAAAGAATTTCCAATCAGAATGTTCCCTTCGCTAATTCCTTTCCTCAAGGATACAAGTATATTCACCCCTCTCTGCTAGTGAGAAATGTACTAGTGCATTATAAATAGTGCAGCCTACTGCAAGAATGAAACTGCACTTGATTAAATCAAGTACTAGAGAAGATAATGCAATCAAAGAACAAATGAAGGGATGTCTAAGGTTGCGGCTGGAGTTATAGAACAGACTGTTTTACAATAAAATCTTTACAAATACACTCTGAAATAATGATGGAAGATATAGCACAATAAATACATAGGACATTACTCTCATTGTTTATTATCATTATTGTTACACACTGTATTTGTATTTATCATATAAGATTGGCAGTGCAGCAGGTGTGTTTACACCAGCGTGACCACAAATATGCGTGAGGAATGCTTGATGCTAGTATATGCCGTGACAACATCTTTTGCAGCACTAAGTGGCACCATAACACTATCATGTTGGCAGGCTGTCCTTAGCTAAAAATCCATGATAAGGAGCATGGAGGTAATTGTACATCTCAGACCTGCAGTACTGGGCAGGACAGAACTGGTTTCCGTAGATGACTCTTAATCTTATGCTTCTCCATGTAAGTCCTGAATCTCTCAGTGCTTGCAAAATATGCCCAGTAAAGGCCCAGTAACGTATTGATGTCTGCTTCTTTTCAATCAATTTATTAAAAAAGATGTGAACTTAAAGCTTTTCAACACCTGACACTCAGGAGCGACGTTAGGCAGGACATCTCTTTCACATTCCTGCACAAGACTCCGGCCTGAAATTTCGGGGAGGAGGAGTTCATCTTCTGAGCCATGTTAATTTTTAAACAATTATTGTCATACCTCTCTAGTACAGACAAGAACCAATATGTGTGCTTCCTCATAATTTTCCAGTATTTAATAGTAGCTCATGAAAACTTTATAAATGTTCTTGAATTTAGGGGTGGAATCATCTTTTCTGAATTTCTAACTCTGATGAGAGGACATCCTCCTATTAACGCATTTCAGCAGCAGAAGTCCTTGTCCCATCTCTGACCGTCTGTTAGTAAACGGTCACTCCTCTTCGCCCACCGTTCTGAGTGTGATAGCCACGTGCTCCCCAGTGAAAACAGTCCTTAATCTTTTTATATTATTTTGCTTGTTGTATCTCTGGAAGACCTCTCCTGTCTTCGTTTCCTTTTGTGGCTTAATTTTTGTGATGAACGCTTCATAGGTTTAAACCCATCACATAGCACATGAGGAATATTGAGGAGACGCGAACCACAAATGTCAGAGGGGTGATGGGTCGCCTGCCTAGGAGCCAAGCTATGAAGTCTGCTGAGGCTT